TTGACACAACCTCTGCATGCGCGGAAAATCTTGCGGTTTGAGTCTTTATATATATAGATATGTCAACGTTGTCAGGAACATATTTATTGAAATTAATATATGGTATTATACGCATGCATCATGAATATATATATATATATAATGAAGAACAATATATATATATATATATTTACGTTATGTGTATATAGACATGTCGATGTTCTCATGAACTTACATTGAATGACTTTCACTAAGAAGGTCCCCTTTCCACACTCCGTTCGCCACCGATGTGCTCCAGGCACGACTTCACGGTGAAGGTGGATGTGCACTCCAGACTCTTCCGGCCAGGTGAGACGAAGCAGACACGCAGAACACCTGGGGATATACATGAACACATGGGGATTTACAAGGCCTTTACTAACCATCATCATCCACTGAAAAAAATACACCTGGGGATTTATCACATGGAAATCATATGAAAAAACATGAAGAAACATCAACATGGAGGATGGAACTGCATGGAAATACTTGGGAAGACACCTCCCCTTTTCACCTTCCAAATGGTCTTGCAAAGGTCCTGCTTCGTCACAGGTCCTGCGTTCAGGTGAGTTCCCAGGGTCCAAACCAGGCACAGCCACTCTCCCTCGGGACCCTCTCCCTTCACCAGGTGTGGCCTACACCTACTCCTTTACCAGCGACGGTGCCACGTCTCCTTGGGGCACCTTCCGCTTGCCGCCGAAGCGGGGCGTCGCGCTGAAACACTTGGACTATGCCATCTTCAGCTGCGCCAATCGAGGTTTCGGCAACTTTGCCGCCTACTCAGACGCTGTGGCAACAGGGCAACAATGGGCAACATGATGTTTTTGTTGGGGGGGCTGTGTGGAACCCTTTTTTGGGATGCCGGCTGCGGGTGGTTTTCATGTTGATATAGGCCGCAAGGTAATGAGGTGGGTGGCAATTGGGTTGTCAAGAAAGCATTCACTTGCTCAATTCTTTTGTTACGCTGGGATTGGGATGGATCGTGTCGTGCTGCATTTCAGCATGGCCATGTGAATTATGTTGCAAAAGAACACATGCTAGGTGGCACTGCCTGCACTTGTTGGTGTTTGGTCAATGCCTCCTAGAATAGGTTTGGAATGGTTCGGGCGAGTCTATATCGGGCGATTCGACCACCAAGTCGGTTCATCACAGGAAGCTGTAGACCGTGTGGCTGGTGGCTTGGACTTCTGGCTGCATCTGGGTGACTTCATCTATGAGTGGCTCGGAGTCGTCGAAAAACAAATTACAGTGGTTCCAGAGTGGCACTGGCACCCCAAGATGTCTTTTAGATGGGGATCCATATAGACCACCTTTTGGTGATTGTGCCATCTACTCTCAATCCATTTAGCGGATGTGCGGTCCAATTGGCAAAGCCGGACGATGCAAATTCAGGCGAAATACACAAGTTCGGCCAATTTCTGGAGGACACCAACCGAACATTCTGCCAAGGGCCAATTCCTGATTCACTCCCTCCATGTCTTTTTACGTTCCTTTTTGCAGAGTACGTTTGTCTAAGTGCTGCGCTAGTCCCATCGGTCCCATCGGCTTACGCAATGCGGGGGAGGTTGGACACTCAAAGAAGCACTCAAGATTGAAGGGAGATGAGTAATGAGACTCCATAATCAAGGGTGTGCCAAGCCAGATGAAGAGTGTATTGCCGAAGTTGTTTCCAGTTCAAGTTCAGGGGAACTGTTTGTTCCTCTCCCCAACTAAACCCCATCTTCTATGAGAACGTGATTTCACCTTGGTTTGTTGGGAGTGTCAGGTGGAGGGTCACCTTTCCCTCCCTACCCCCCAACGCCGGACCCAGACAGAGAGTGTCTCCGAAGCTCTCAGGTATGGCCAGCAGAAGTATCCGTCACCTGCCAAGACACGCGTGCCTGGACTGGAACCGGCGCATGATCTGGTGAGCCTGGCGGATTATCGCCTGAGACATGCCTTCTATCGTGCCTGGATGTGGAAAGCCAAGCGGTGGAGTGGTGGAGGAGTGGAGGAGTGGCCATTGGGCGAGGGTATGGAGGTACTGTAGATTTCACGATGATTGTTTTGGGCATAGATATCAGTGGATATCCGCTGATACCGATACCATCCGATACCTGTGCTTTCAAAGCTTCTGGACAACCTAAGTATTTGTTTGCAGCAATCAAACAGCATCTTCCAGTTTGCAGATCTTTTTGGATGTATTTATTGCTGCTGGATGTTGGACTACATGCAACATTATGCAACACGATGTTAGAGATCAAATTGAAGTCCATCGAATGCCACCGTTTGTCATTGTAGTTTTGTGCGTCAAACATGCCTGGCTGACCAGTTCATGGATTTGTAGCTTTCCCCAGCTTTGGTCCCAGCCGCGATGTCCGCCAGTGAGAGAGAGAGAGAGAAGGTGTCCGCCACGGACCGCGGCCATCCGCGGCCCGACGTTTTCGAGGATTGGATCCCGAACTGCAGCGCCTCTCGGCGGCCGCGCCAATGATCTCCATCTGGGACGACCACGAGGCGGGAGCGGCGGGATGGTGGAGGGGGAGTGCAGGGAAGATGGATTTGATAGAGGTAGCAAGGTGTTTCTGGGTTAGTAAAGTCGTTTGGGATTCCTTGGGCCTTTCAGGTAAGGAGATGGGAATCTGGAGAAGATGCTCCAACACGTTGTTCGGTTCATGCCCTGTCATACATGAAAGATATTTACAAGATGATCGACAGATTGGGATGCTGCAGATGATGAACGGCAGCAGTCCAATTCAATCTTTTAGGCTGACATGGGCTGACAAGGCTTCCCCATCCACACCAACTCTTTCCAGTGACCGATCCCAAAGTGTCAAATCCCTACACCTCCAACGCCCATATCCTCAGGTGACCGGTGGTATTCGACCTCCCTGGCACACACCCCTGGCCCACCGAACCGAAACGGAGGTGGGACAGGAGCCCTATAGAATCCTATAGAGAATAAAGAGAGAAGTCTGTACGGAATTCAGAAACCCTAGCATTCCGCTCGGTAGGAGTGGACCCTCGCCAGTCTCACCGAACCTCAGTCGGAGTACTGGAGCATTTAGGGGAAAGCCAAAACCACTGGCGTTGTAGAGGAAAGTGGCCTTCCAGCGGTCAATTCTCAGGTTCCATGTGACTTTGCGGGAGGGTATGCCATGGTTTGCCCATGGTTTGCTCATTCAGCTCCTACCAAGGTGGCGAACGATGACTGGATGCACGGCGCGGAGAACCACCACGAGGCACAGCAGGGTGCCTACGAGGCACGGAAGAGGGCAGCCATCCAGGCGTACCACGATGCCTGACATGGATTTTGCATGGTTTTTGTGGATGGATATGTCAATTTCCCCCCAAATGAGAGTCACCAAACCGAAGAAGGGATTTCACAGCAGGGCAAACTCATTGTTTATTTTCATGTGGATGTGCCCTACGGGCACGTGCTTTGGAACCATGGCCAGGTAAGATCTTGCACAGCCATATCTAACATAGCTTGTGTGCCCCATGTGTTTCTTCATGTCCCAACCCCCACTGAGTGGATCACCCCAGACCAACTGCTGGGCGCCCCGGGCGCCGCCATCCCCGAGGAGTGGCTCCCCACACGGCCCGACGTCGACGTTGACTCCAACCGCTCGGCGGTGCCCTGGATGCGCTGGCGGCGCTTCGACTTCGGAGACTTGGACGCTGGGCAGCGGAGAAGCATGGGGCAGAGGAAGGCCATGTGGAGAGGGGTGGACACAGATGCAGCGAAATTCGGGGTGGTTGCTGGTTTGCTCCTTTAAAAAGAGCGGAGCGGAACTGCACATCCAAGCAATATATGCGGCATATTATGCAACCATAAGTCAATCTAAGTCAAGTTGTGTGCAATGGGTTTCATGTGATTCCATTGAGTATTGCGTTTGTTGCACATGTGTGTGAGAGGCCCCACTCACGAACCCCAAAGTTTTTCCCTTGCAATGCCCTCTACATGTTTTGCAAATCAAACGACAAGGAAGGTATTATTCCATATTCCTTCCCAAAGGCAAATTCTCCACTTCCATGTTAGGGGTATCATGCTTTGGAGGAAACTGTTTGCAAACTATATCATGTCTCGAAGATAGTTTTGCGGGCATCGGTGATCATTTTGTAAGAGCCTGGCTTTCCATAGCTTCAGCACCTGCTAATAGCGCCCTCTTTGCGACACAGCACAATACAGCCGGAGGGGCAAGCTCGAGGAAGGCATCCATCTTTGAATGTTCCGATGAATCGTTATGTTATAACCTATCTACCAGGGGCCCTCAAAACCATGAAAGACAAAGGTTTTCACATACAGAACTATAACTGTAACATACTGTAACTATAATTATATGTTTATGTTCACTTAGCTTCACTTAGCAACTTGGAGGAAATCCCAGGGCGTGACACCCAATCCCACTGTTTTTGTGTTTCATCACTTGAGGTGGAAAGATGGGCGGTCGGCGGTCTCCCTGTTGGTGTTTCAGGCAGGCATAGAGATGCATAGAGCATCCAAAAAAGGAGCTTCACCCGGAGAAGAGGCCCATATGGAACCTGAACATGGCGACTCCCAGACCATAAGGTTCAGACGGGTTCTCAGACGATTTGTTGGTTTTCTCTACGGTTCAGACACACCCAGGTTCCACTGGTTTTCAGGTTCTATGTGGGTCTCGGGGCCGCAGGGTGTTGGGCTTTCGTTTGAGGCCACGCTGCTGATGCTGGAGACTCGACTGGTGGGGAGGACGACGCAGGCGGAAATGACCTGGGCCAGCGTCCACGAGGACCAAGCCAACGTGTCGCCACTGGACGTGTGGTGTTTCGCCATCCATGAGATATAGCATGCAACTAATCACGGCCCCCTGAGGGATGATTTTGTGTTCACATGTGTTCTATATCTACAGATTCGATGAATTTCCAGACTTGGTGCGGGCTTTGAGGCCCAGGCATCCTCTCCATGTTCGGTGATATTAATACTGTAAGGAGCTTGCACGTGGCCCACAGAAAAGAACAAGACAGCTACTGGTACTGCCAAAAACCAAACCATTTAATAATTGTACTATTTCTGGCATTGTTTGGCCATCCCATGCTTCGATCCAGATCGTTTTTCAAGCTCGGTTTGCAGGACATCCGGAAGATTTTGGATGGCTTCTTGGGAATCTCACCCTATGCCTGGCCCGGTGGCGAGATCGAGTTTGAGATCTCCAAGATCCGCAAGAAGGCCACCGGAGCGGTCCGTCTCCGAGATCAGTCCGTCGAGCGAGTGCAGTTTGGATGTTTGGATACCAGTGACCCAGGACTCACCAGTACCCATGACTCCTGAGTCATTTGCGCCGGATGTATAGTCTTTGCTTGTTTCGTATTTGAACCAATTGGTATGATGCAAGAGCGGTGGAGCTGGAGGATAGGACGTGTCCGGAACATCCACTCACCGGTCAGGGGTCAGGGGTCAAAACATCACAAACGAACGTGTTTTGGAGGCCCTTTGGAGCGTGGATGTTTGTTGGTTCTTTACAAACAAAAGGAGCATTGTAGGCCCTGTACGGAACGTGGATGTTGGTGGGTTCTTTCCGTTCTTTCCCTAGTCATACGGTGCCTTCCTCAAGGGCCGCCTGACTTCTGCTCGGTGGTTTGGAGGGTCGAATACCACCGGTCACCTGAGGATATGGGCCAGGAGCTGTAGGGTGAGATTCACCTGATCATGAAAGATCCATGAAACCCAGGCAAGTCGTGGATGGCCTTTGCATCCCAACGCTCATAAGAAGTGGATGGTAAAACCCATCCATCAGACTCTTCTTGGAGCTGCTGGAGATGGTTTCAGATTGGCCAGGCACTTTTTCAAGGCTGAAACATCCTTGATCCATGGAGTTGCGCCACCTTCCACGACCCCCAGATCTGATCATACCTCTTACTTGGGAACAACATGCTCAAATGAATACATCCACAGTCGAGGGATCTTCTCCACAAAACAAGGACCGTTTTTGTTTGCACCTGAATTTCTCCTGTCAGGTTGAGGAGCACCGGACGAAGAAGGATAAGTACATGCTGGGAAAAGAGCAGCGGCTTGGAAGGAACAGAGAGATGGAGGATCAACTCACCGGGATCAGCCCCCCAAAGGTGCACCTGAAATCCATACAAAGCTAGTTCTTCCGTGGCACCTGCATTCCGTGCAAGAAAGACTGCAACAACATGTGTTTTTTGTTCATGGCGACCATGCGATGAACTCACCCGCGGCCGCCGTGTTTGCGTTGTGGTCGCGTCGTGCCTTGGATTCCGAAGCTGCCGAGGTTGACCTGGATCGAAGAACAAGTGGCCTCCACCTCGAAATGGCTTTTGCTGGGGCAAGCTCAGGTGGTGCAGGAGCTGTTGCCTCCCAACTTCTTCCAAGCGATCTTGGATCAGCAGAAGCATCCTGGGATTTGCGATGAACAACTTTTATATTTCTTATTTTGAACGATTATGTTCATTCCCTTGGCTGGAATTTCATTCTTTGGGCCACCCTGAGCAGATGCTTTTGTTGGTTGTATATGTTTAGCAGTTGCTCCCGAACTCCAGCCCTGATAGCTACTTCTTGCCACTTTCCGGGTGATCACATAGAGGGCCGAGTCTTTGTGCTGCCTGGACGGAGTGTGGACCAGTGCATCCAAGGAAAGATGCCAAGATCGCCCAATACTGGAAAACGTTGCTGCACAATCTGACGAAATTGGGATTTGTTTACCACGACTTTCAGGCGAGGTCGTTTTGTTCGGATGTGATAGGCACAGGCACATGCGAGTCACGGTCAAAATAAGTGATTCTCTTTAAGGGAGGGAGCAGTTGTGCTGAGAAAGTGTACCAAACCATGATGGCCCCCCCCAAGAAAGCGATAACCTGTGACCACATATCACAGTCCGTTCAACTTGGCGTACACTGAACAAATACTGTTAACCATGCACGCAACGGGCGAAGCTGATGAGAGAAATTCAACCTGCGGTGCCAGTGTATATTCACTGTATGATTCGTCGTCTAAGGTAATTGAACCGTCCTAAAGCGATAATCTATGAATCTATAGTAACGTAACATAACCATTTGTTACACGAAAACCCCCAGCCAAGGGATAGACCCATGAACCTAGAGATAGACAGCTCAGCACCTCATTTTGTTTTAAAGGGTTGATGAAATAGTCATGTTGAATATGAAGCATAATGATTAAGCCATATTAAACTTATGGCCTATGGATGTCTAGCTATGGCCCCAACGAAAACGACGACAACTTTATAACCTTTGCAGTGCACAAATCCAAAAACAATTGCTTTTGATGGCGCTTCATGTGGAACCTGCTGTAATTCTGGGGCAATCTCAGGAGGTAGTTTCCAGACGTCCTAGAAGATTGGGAGAATGAAAGGATGACCTTTTGTTCTTGACATGTTTGCGAGTCGCAGGGCATGTTCCAAGCTCGAATGACACTTAGGATATTGATGCCATCCATGTACAGCCATCTCTTGTACGTAGAGGCCATGCCTGGGTGGGGGAAGGATTGATCTGTTGGCTCCAATTTCAACGACCAGTTGTTGGCCAAGCCTTCAACAAAACACCTCAAAATATCTCAACATAGGCTCTCAACATCTCCCAACCGCACTATTTTTAGTGAGAAGAGGCCCACAAAAACCGTGCCCAGATCGCCCCTTGCTGCCCCGGTCTACCACCGTGTGATCTCAACTTCACCGCGAGGCCAAGAAGAACTTCACCACCACGCCTGAGATGCGCAATGACTTCCTGGTGGACCTGGCGGCCGGGCGCTTCGGCGTCCAAATCAACTTCGACGGCTGGACTGGCCCCTCGGCGTGGCGAAGTGAGAATGGCTGAGACGAAGCGGACGAAGCCGCTGTTGGGAAAGAAGCCGAATGCATCATGGTCCCGTGGCACGGTGTCCTGGACATGTTGGAGTGGGGATCCTACGAACTTCTCATCTGTTTGGGGGTCTGTATGCACTCCGACGAACACATCACGTGGTCTACGTGGATGGTGAGACTTTCCACTTGTCATAAATTCGTCTTAGAACCGTTGGGTGCCATTTGCTGGTCATGTGGTCATGAGTCCGGTGCTTGGGCCTGACAATGGGTGTGGGCAGGAGAAGGTAGTCACAGCAAAGTGGTGAACTGAAGATGTTCAACATGTTTGTTTGGCCATTGGGCACCTTTGCACAGCATCCATGTACAAAAAACGTGCTACTATCGAAAGATCTCCTTTTTTGTGAACATCTACCCCTGTTGCATCCTTTTTTGGGTCTTCCATGGAATGTTGCCCACCCCCAGATGAACCCCACAACTCCTCCAGCATCACCTGTCGACCCCCCGGGGCCAACACCCGAACACTCGCCACGCCGCGCCACGTCCCGGCAGGGTACGTCGCCGAGCGCGAGCGCCTCATCCACCTGCTGAGCAGCACACCCGCCAGCGCCAGCGCCGTGGTCTACGGCGGGGACTCGCACAACGCCTGGGCAGGCGACCGGCTGAGCTGTGAGCTGAAGAAAGAGCTGTGATGTGGGGCACAAATGGCACAAATTCAGGGGTGGAGGGGAGAGTTTTCGATGCTTGGTGGGAAGTGAGTTAACGAGTCAAAGGGCATGTGGTTAGCAGATTCCTAATCAGATTCCTCTAAGACAATTGAAATGACAGGACCCCAGCCCCAGGTCCTACTGATCTTGTGATAATTTCTGATATGTTCGCTCTAGTTTCAGCAAATCCTGTAGAGCTTGATCACCGACTCGCACGCTGATGTTCTTCTATCATACCTAGAGAACCAAGAACTCCTAAAATGTCATATATCCTGAAAATACACGAGGTTTTTAAAGAAAACACGAGTTTTGTTGACTTCCTCAAAACGATACGATTGCCTACGGGATTCTACGGGTTTTCTACGGTTTTTATACGGGTTCGAAACTTAGTGCTTTTGGAAAATGATGTTTTCGACAGAAACACAATGTTTTTAGTCAAGTGGAGCCCAAACACGATGTTTTCCATCAGACACGACAAATTCGTAGGTTTTGGGTTCCATTGGTAGCTCTGTCGTTGACAGAGTGAGTCATTCCAAACGGAGGCCAAGCCGCCAAGGGTGTTTTGTGTGTTTTTGTTGACCACCTGGTGGATCAAATTAGGTGCTAAATACGTGGACAGGCTTGGGAAATCTTGATTGCGCATGATTGCGTGATTGTGTTTTCCCTCGAGCATAGAAGGCATATTGTAGACGGCCTCCACAAGAAGTAGGGATTGCACCCCCGAAAGTCGTCATTCAATGATTTAGCTTGACCTTGCCCCATCCTTGCCCGAACCTCGGCCGTACTTCATTGGCCACGCGAAGCTCGCAGGCCACTTGAAGCACAGTGATGGCCGAGCTGTTGCAGTAGACTTCGATGGAATGGCGGTCACAAGCCCTGGCATGGACACTTGGCTCTTGTTCATGGCCACTGTCCCTACAGATCCAAGTGCCTTCTCAGAAGGTACTTGGTGAGAAGGTACGACTGGACCCCCCAAACCTACAGTCTCCCTGCTCACCGTAACCTGAGAAGGTGCGACTGGATCCCTACAAAATGAGGGTGGTGACTGGACTGGTGTTTCGCCTCAACAGCTACATGGAACTTCTCAGACGAATACCTAGTCGAGCACGCTACTCTCCGGAGCTTGGGGCTGGGCAGCTAGTCAGGGGCTGGGCTTCCAAGGGCCACGCATGTGATGCAGCATGATGCAACAATGTGTTTCCCAGAGCGAATCCAATTAGTCCGCAGGTGCCGTTCAGATGCCCTGACTTTGGTGGTATTCGATGAGGCTCAGTCATGCGAGTGATCCAACCCGGCCGACTGGTTTTCCATGGTTTTCCCCTGAATGAATGCGTCGGCCGCCCGAGCGGGTCAGGGATTGAAGATATTGAAGAAGTTAAACATACCAACTAGGGTGTCACCAATGACGATTCACTTGCTCTAAGAAGAGCAGATTTAGCAAGATGATGTGCATTTGGTATGTTTTTCCATTGGAAGCTTGGCCCTTTCAATATCAAGACATGTTCAATGTATACCTTTTGACCGATTGCTGCAGTCTCTTGACCGCCACCGGTCGTTTCGGTCGACAGCGACGTTTCCTCCGGTCGATTTCCGCCGAGGAAGGCATCCGACCCTTCGTGCCCCCGGAGTTCGAGGCGGCGGCGTGGTATGCGGCGAACCCCGACCTGGCGTCCCGGAGCGAGCCGTTGCAGTGGAAACTGGAAACTCCAAACTTCAAAAAAACCTGAAGTTGACATGATGTTTTGTAGGGCAAGCGGCTTGGGAGTGTAGGCTGCTAGCAACGTGGTCACCACATCTCTTTTCATTGCATGGATCCTCCACAACGGAAAGGATCGCGTTGAGCGGATAGAGGCATCGCATCGGTGTCTTCGATCTGGAAGCATTTGGAACGCAGAAGTCCAGGGTGCTTTCTGTCGACGGTCCGGGGTGGCTGCTTTGAGACGTGTTGTCATCATGCCCCAGCAAGTTGAGACATTTGGACCATTTGTTAAAACCGTTCTTTGACCGCCAGGCAGTGTCTACACCACACTCTTCTGACACCAATCCAACACATTTCAGTACAACAGAGAGCTTTGTTCAACCAGGTTCCTGCCCAGTGGCTCCTCTCCTGAACACTCTTCTCCCTCCGTTTCTCACCTCCACCGAGGTTTGGGCGGACACCTCCAAGCGTGGCTTCATGTTGGTGCCTGGTCAATGAACTATGCGATGCTCATTGTAGCACAAAATGGCAGAAACATGCGGGTGTGAAGAACATATTGAGGCTTGTGTATTGGATGATGTAGAAATGACATACCATCAAATACCTATAAATCCTCTTTCTTGTTCAGAGTGTAGAGTGTCTTGCAGTTGTTAGGCCATCCATGGCCATCCCCACACCTGCCGGTCATACAAACGGCCTTCGACTTGGACCAACGCGCGAATGTCCGCGGGTCACCCGAGCTGACCAACCTGGCTGAGTCGCTTCGTTCGTCAGGTGCATCTCAGTCACCAGACTCAACACCTGGAGTACATTGCCGTGGATGTGGCCACCCCCAGCCGAGGAGCCAAAAAGCATAGCATGGGCCATGTGGATGGGATGGAGAGTGGGGTGAGGTGGCGGAAGGAAACGATCATGCATGGTTGCCAGGTATGACCAAAGCAACACGTGCAGGTTTATATGTATGTTTGCACACATAATATGTGTAATATATAATATATATTTATATGGAATTATGCTTTGTGTTTTCTGCAGTTGATCAGGTGCTGGATTTCCTCAATCAACAGCAGGGAAACCTACTTGTGCCCTCCAAGCTGTACTCAGCAAGGAGGGCAGAGTAAAGGAGAGGAGAGGACAACTGAGAGGGAAAGCAGGATGGTTTTTGGACCTGGTGTTCAATGGATAGACATGACGGCAAAAATGCCCATGTTCAGTAGCAGTTCTTCCCAACACGCCACCTTTTTCCCTTTGGGGGTAGAACTCTATACAATTATATATTGTAATAATGTAATATAATAAGTGACTCCCTGAACCCTGAACCTGCAATGCTCGACCGCCAGGCTTGGCCACTTCCGAGTGCTTGGCGGCCTTCGACGTGCAACACGGCGAAGTGAAGATCCAGCCCAGTGCTTGCAGCAGACGCCCAAAGTTGGCAGACGTCGCTGCGCTGGAGCCTCAAGCATCTTGGGCGCATGTTCATAGCACTGGGGGCGGCGGCGCGTCTGGCGGCACTGCGACTCTTTCAGGATGTTCTATCACCCAACGGATTTTACTGTGGTGGCAAGGTCTAATTGGCCTGTAGCCATGTCAAACTGCATCACCCAACTGACCCAACTTATTAGAGAGTGGGTCGTTGCCTTTCAACACCTCATGTTTGTTGCCGTTGCCTCGGCCAGGAAGGAGTGGACGCTCAGCCAGGATGACCCTGAACATGCGGTGTTGGAAGACCATGTTCCGCCACAAAGCACTACAAATCCAATAGTTTTTGGGGATCCATCATCTGAGGGATGACGATCTCTCCGATCTCCCAATTTTGCTTGTCGGAACACATCCAGCTTTTGGGTCATCAATTAATAATCCTAATTAGTTGTACCGCCCACCCAGCAACGGTCCTAGAAGAACTATTACTTGGTAGGAGCTCCTGAAAAGCCTTGAAATGCTGAGGGGCCCAAGGTGACTACACCGAGTTACTATATAGTGACTATACAGTACAGGATACTGAAGGTATAATAGTCTCCAACCTGTTGAGGCTATGGTGCCCATTTGGTCCCTGCTGGTGGCCTGCTGCCTGGGCACGCTGCTGGGTGGCTGTTTCTGTCGCCTCAAGCAGCGCTGGTCTGGCACCAAGCGTAGCTACGAGCATTGTGAGGCACCGGACGGCATGCGCCGGGATATGCTGGAGACATTCCCTTAGTACCGAAGCTATACACAATTTTGTTTATTGCAATTACTGACATGTGCAACCATTAGCAAGCAAAGAATATCATATGGGGTGCTTGCTGGTGCTTGCTGGTGCTTGCTGCCCACAACCATGCATTGCCTTGCATTCTCACCTGAAATTCTCTCACATTCTTCCCCATAGAATTCTGCCAACTTTGAAAGATTGGAATTGAACGTCAATTAACATGAGGAATATGCTGTGATGCAAATATGTGCACATCTTGTGCTACAAACCAGTGGCAAAAAATGGGATTCAAGCCATTGGCAAACCACTCGCAGTGAACTGAGGGACTGCCGGACTGCCATTGGATTTAGGCCATGAACGCTACAGCTACAACTGTTGCCCCCACCACTTGGAATAGAACAATTATGAACAAGTACCCTCACCATTTCTCATGTTTCCGGGTCTTGTGGTGTGTGTGTTTTTCTTATTTTGTATGCATCCTACCTCCGTGGTGTTTCTCGTGGTCACTGTAACGAAATAGCCCCAGCTTGGGCGGACAGACTAGCCCCATATCCCCTTTTCCCCGGACCTTTCCGAAGACCAACCTTCTCCGCCACGGTTTGAGGCCGCGGAGGTTCCTCCCTGCAACTTGGGCGCCACGGAGCTCCGCTGAGCGATGAGAGCTGCGGAAAGAGCCGACCCGGGCGCTGGCACCGTTTTTCTCCACGGTTGGGCAAATGGGGTTGACCATGTGGCGTTTTGCAAAGAAAAACGGTCTTATGTGTAGTATGCGCAATTGGTTTGACATATATTTTTGTATGAGGCTATTAAATAGAAGTGCCGTGTGCGGGAATCATATGCAATCAGGAAGAACTGGAGGCTTTGTGTGGGGGGTTCTATATTGAACTGTATGAGTATGAGGTTATATACCTGCCTGGTCCACACAAAAGTTTCGTTGAGCCATCGATCCACCCATTGCCCGCCCTGAACAGGGCTTCCGAGAGATGGTTCAGCGCTGCAAGAAAGCGGGCGTGGACACTTGGCAGATCTCTCTTTATCGTCGCCGAATTGAATAGACCAACATGACGCTGTGCCGGACTAAGGCAGATGATGCCGCACTGTATGTGTTTGATTACCCTCAGTACACTGCATAGAGTTGGGGGTCCTCAAGCACCTTGAGTAGAATGTAAATGTGTAGATAGAAGTATAAATATATATATATATAAGTGTAGGGAACAGACAAAAAAGCATCTAGCTGAACAGACCTGCCCACCATTTTGACCACACTAGCTGGGGCGTCAACTACCGCCACATCCCAGGATGTTATCGCCGATGCCGTGGTGAATCATGTGGCTGCAGGCGCAAACGTGAAAACAACACAACAAAACACAATGGGAGTCCCTCTTGAATAGAATACCGAATTCAGGGTTCTGGCATGGCATAGCTCTGACGAAAAGCTTTGCACTCCAAACCTTAGGCAGTGGCACTGGCATTGCTGGCAGCCCCTATGGTAACCGGAAGACCGCTGCTCAGCTGCAGTTGCTCCACAACATGGGTGGGAGAGGAGCTGAGCCAGAGTGAGAAGATGCTCAACGAAGGGGATGGGGTTCAAATAAACCATCTAAGGCCGTATGGGCAATTGGCATTCCCAAACCATTTTCACACCCGGTGCCCAAGGCTTTTTATAATGGATGCATCCCCAAGATGCATGCACGCGTGCAATGCATAGAGAGACCAGGGAGTCTATGGATGGCCGCGCTGGTGGAGAGTTTGCTGCAATGTTTGATATTGTTTGATGATTTTCCTGCACCTGTGTCATCTTGTGGCTCTGGCAGGTTTTAGGCAAGACATCGGATTGTTTTAGAATTTTAGACAGACCATGCCAGACATGTGGCGGAACCGCAGGTTGCAATCTTTGCAGGACAGTCTCGCAAGACATGTGGCGTCACACCCCCAGGGTTCTGGCTCTTGAATCACCAAACAATCAGCCATGGCCATAGTTCACCATTAGAACGGTAGAGTAGGTGATGGTAGACGACCGAAAACTCATGACCACTCTTTGGTTCCGGTAGGCTTAGGAATGCAATACGCGCCTGTCCTTTTCAAGTGCTGTAGCCAGTATAGTTGCAGCTTCAGATTTCAATCTCCGGACCACTGATGACTAAAACCTCATGAGCCTATCCTTGCGCCACGCGCCATTCATCGTGCTTTCACCGCTGGACCATTCTCCTGCACACCGGGATGTGCAGCAAAATGCACGTGGAGACGCGTGTGGTTTCCATCGCTTGGGGCGGCGATGGTGCCAGGTGGGGTGGCACATGGTGAATGCATTGCGAATCGCAGCAAGTTCCTCAGTTCAGGTGCTGCTTCCTCAGTCAGCATGTCCAGACAATTCAGGACTTTTGACACACACCACCTGCCCAGAGACCCGCAGGCCGTCTTGGCGGGCGCCACGTCGATTCGAGCCAAGAGCAGGCAGCAAGCGCTAGCTGGGGCGCCGTCTCGGCGCACACAGCTGCTGGTGGATGCGGACCAGTGGCCCACCTCAAAGCAAGAAGATGAGCTTTCATTTACAAACATGTCACATTGTCAGATGATTAACCAATGAAAAGGGAGGACAAACTCTTCCCCCCCAAGAGAACACTTGACGGTTGCATATTGTAATAGTTAACTATATAGGCATTAGTGACCAAGAAGATGGGTTTCTTCTCCGCAAAGAACCCCAAGGAGGCCCAATTGAGCTGATACCCATTCATGAGACACTTGTGGACCCTACTTACTTTGGCTGTTCTAGACATATTTCTGCCCGCTTGCACCCACAAGTAGCAATTCGGCATCTAGATCAACAAAAAAACAAAAAATCATCCAACAAAAATAAATAAAATCAACATATTATCAACAAACAAATAATGGATCCAAAAACATATTCATTGATAGACCTTTTCTGCTGCTCCCCTGACCCTGTGGTCTGCGGGTGCTCTGGTGCTTTGGTCCGCTGGTCCACTGGTCCTTTGGTCCCCTGGTCCTTTGGTCCCTTGGTCCTCTGGTCCACAGGCTCTTTGGCCCCCTGGTCCTTTGGTCCTGGTCCGGTCCCGTGGTCTCCTGGTCCTTTGCCCTCCTGGTCCTCTGGTTTGCTGGTTTCCTATGGTTTTCTCCTTGTTCTTTCACTGATGCTTTTTGATGCCCTTGGTCCTTTCTCTTGTAGCTTATTGGCCGCAGTTTTCCTGCAAATGTACCATGCTTTTGGCTTCGGTTGCCTTAGGTCCTTTTGTGCACTTTTATTTTAGATGCCCTTCACTGAAAGGGCGATAGGGTACATAGTTTCTAGTGATTCTTTTGTGGTGCTGTAGTTTAACGTTTGGTTCGCTTTGGGGGGAAGGCGCTGCGCCCTGCCCCCCAACCCCCCTCCAGCACCACGAAATCTGCACTCTGCACTGCGCCTGCCACGAAAACTAACTATATGTAAAGGGTCGCCCATCGCATTTGCAGATTGTCCTCCTCTTGCCCTTGTCTTGGCCGCGCCCCTGTTTGTGGGGCTAGAATAGTTTTTTTTTGTTGATTCCCTTTTTATGTTTTCATGTTTTTGGGGATCCCCGTTGAATATTTTGTCGATTTACTTTTTGTTTTTTTGATCCCTTACTCTAGCACCTTTGGAAAAGTGGATTGAACTGGATGACACCCCAGTGGCTTAGGGAATCCCATCATGTTGAGACGCGCACCGCACCCGAAATGTTAGATGAAACCCGATCATCCTTCAGTTCTATGTCCAGCCTTAGATTGTCCAAGTAAGGTTCAGCATAGAGATGATACAGGAGGCCATTCGCCTCCTGGGCGGCCATGGACAGGCTCGGCCATGGCCCTGCCGGCTGGGTCGAATGTGGAACCTGCGAAGGATGTGGGAGAGTCTAGACTGACAAGGTCACCTGGTGACGAACAGCATGAAAAAAGGTACTGAAACCTAAAAAGGAGATTAAAGGAACGTGTATAGTTGAGTAATTATATGCCCATGGACGGGGTTTTCTGTGCCTGCACTGGCAGAGATATGCCCCGTCGACAGTCCAGCGGCTCTTCCCCTGATTTGACCCTTTTCGGAGTCACTTGGTCAACTGAGGTAAGCGGCCAACTTTCAACCTTGGGCTTAAAAGTTAAAGTGGTACTCTTGTTTTATCACCAGATCTTCTTATTGACTAAGTCTTCCCCATCCATTCTTTGGGATGTCCTTTGCAATCCCTTGTGTTGGCTTGCTGCTGCGTTGCTCACCGTTTGGCACTTTGCATGTGTGAAACATCCGAAGCAGCGCTCCATAAGATAGAGATAGATCGAGTGCATGGTTTCAGAGTCCGTCCGGGTGCGTCCCCAAGCCTCGGTGGTTTGTAACCCCCATTTGTTTAAGCCTAGCTTCTCCCTCCAAGTCAAGTGCCTCGTTTTACTGGCCTCCTTTTGAGGTGGAGGGTCTGGTGGGTGGGTATCAGTGCCATCGAACCTCTGAAACCCCTGTGCCTTTGCTGCAGCGCGACGGCGCCCCGAATGACCTCCAGGTGACGACCTTCATCTTCGCCGAGCCGGGCCGCAGGAGGAATGCCCACTGGGCGGCGCTTCTGCCGATGGGAAAGCATGGGAAGGGCGCTCCAGGATACGGAAAGGGTTGACATCTCCCTATAGGGCTCCTGTCCCACCTCCGTTTCGAAGGTGGGACGGGGGTGGGTGCCAGGGGGGCTGAATACCACGGAACCTGAGGATAGGGTTGGAGCCCTAGGGTATATTGACATGGATAGATTGAATACCCAAACACTCCATGTATGCCATAGTTGCTTACATTTGGGTCAATGATGGTCAATGTAGGTAAATATATATGCCATACCTGGAGTGTTTGGGATAGATGTTGGGTAGTGGCCCGATGGAAAAGAAAAAGGACTGACAGGTGGGGTTGGAAGCCATTGCTTATCATTGCTTCGTAGTCCACACCCTGTGTGAAAGAAGCATGCGCTTTGGCAGGAACCCAGCCCCCTGACGGATGTGTTGGTTGCTTCATGGGATTGTCGGGATCCCCTGGAGTCACTTGTTGCAAGCATGAGCTGCACTGCACATTTCCTCCAAGTCACTTGCCAGTTCACGCAGACCTGGGTTTCATTGTGTTTGATTCATTGAGTCAGGACCATGTCATTGAGTCAGGATCATGTCATTGAGTCAGGACCATGTCATTGAGTCAGGACCATGTCATTGAGTCAGGACCCCGTGTCCCTTTTCTTTGTGCAGTCGACCATGTCAAAACGGGGATGGCCACAAGGCCTCCTGGCCTCCGCACAAAAGGCGACAGCGCGGCATTCGCTTTTGTGCGGTGCCGCGTGGCGGCTCCCCCCACCGGGAGCCCAATGACGAAGCCTTGGTCGAAGCGCTGCATGGGCTGGCGCGGAACACTGAGGAAGCTGGGAACAGCAAGACCAAGAAGAGAAGTTCACATGGTCAAGCAAGAGTGAGTTTCTATACCAGGACCCTCCGACAGGTCACCAATAGAGACCTGTTAGGGCCTAACAACCCTCAACTAACAGCCTGTTGGAGGGTGCTGGTATATATCACTTGCTGCAATCAATTCACTCCTATGATCTCTCATGAGTCGTTATTTTCCGCACCACACTGGTGGTGGAACTCCTTGTTTGGACATGCATGCGGTTGCCCAGTTCCACCAGGTGGGCACCACACTGGTGGCCTAGGAGGCCCAACGGTGTGTCGAGATGGACTGAGTGCTTCTATCAATGATAGGAGGACTGAAAACATCACCATCCTTCCAGGCAAAGGATTCTTATATAACAAGTTTCCCTGCAAAGAAGTGGAGTTCACCCCCTCTTGGTAGAGTAAAAGAGTCTTCCAAGGGGCCAGACAGTCCACTTCCATGATTGTTTCAGGGAGGGTAGTCAGTGACATGAATCCCCCTCTAAGCATCCACGCTGCAATTCCACCCAGCACTGGCTGAGGACATCGCTCTCTTGACCTCCGACTGCGGCTTCTTGCCCACGCTGCTCGCCATCCAAGAGCTCACGCTGCTCGCCACGCGCGCGATGCAAGTGCTCATTCCTCAGAACCGCTACGGAGTGATCGCTGCTTGGCGCCCACCAGCTGTCGGATGCTGTGGCAGGTCTGGGGTGGGGATGGAAGGCTTGAGATTGAGTCAGTCGACTTCTAGATGACGAGACATCTCCCATGTTTTTATTATCTAGTTTGCTGCTATGGTGATGTTCTTTGTAGCCAGCTGCACCTGCTTATATAATGGGTACGTTTTGGTCCAACAGAATCCATCATGCACTCAAGTTGGGAATCGATCCGAACGACACCAAACTCTTTGTTCATTGGATTAGATTAGGTTGCACTTTGGTGCACACAGAGTTGCACACAGCAGACACTCATTCCAGTTTGAGCATCAAACTTTTGCAACAGGTTGAGACGTTGCCTTCATTGGGATAGAACCCCATGACCACTTGCAGTGAAGATCTTTAGAAAAGGAAGCTACGCTGTTGGTATTGTTTGTGTGTCCTGCTATGGAACTAATGTTGGAACAAATTTACACTCTGGGCCCCTTCACCGGCAAAGTAGCTGCTGTCATTCTTCAATAATTGTATGACATGTTTGCCCTCCCAACAATCAGAAGTGGACCTCGTTCTCCTCCATGAGCCTTGGCGTGTCAAACCATGTGGCTACCGCCATGACTGCCATGACTTGGGTCTCCAGGCTTGCTACGAGGCTGCAGGGCTTCCAGTGCTCCGGCTGTGCCTGCCACCGGTCGCCTTCACGCGCGTCCGGGCGACGCTGCAGGTGGATGGCCAGGGGCTGCGACCTTAGAGGATGGGAGGAAGCGGTGAAAGTGCTGAAAGCCGAACGAAAGCCGAAAGAGGAGGGTGCCCCAGACCCCAGGTTTTGGGCCAGGGCCCACCCCCACGGAAATACAACTCCAAACCTCAGGCCGCAACGACCTTTGTTCCGAAGTTGCTTGGGCTGGGTTTGGGAGGTCTATGTACCTTCTGAGGAGGTAGTTGGAGCCCTAGGGATGTGGAATGGTTTGTGACAACTTGATGCTATTGATGTCAAGTCATGCCGGTTCGAGGTTTGTGCACCTGGATCACTCTGAGCCTTTGGACGAAGACCAGGCCTCTTGGGGATGAGAAACAAACATGCCAGCTGGTGCAGCAGTTCTTTCAAGTCGATGCAGCAGGGGCTTGCAGCTTGGGTGGTGATCACCACTCAGTAGTTGAAGAATTCTCCTGGAGTGCTTACCATCATTATATAGATGTTTATTCTTGTGCACTTGAATGTCCAAAACCTTGAAAGGAGTTTCTATACTAATATAGGTCCGCCCAGGGAACATGCACATGCTGCTGCATCACATGCTACCCTAAAACTGGCACCAGTCGTCGGCTTCAATACTCAAAGTGCTGACATGAAAAAGGCACGCCCCTGACAAGTGAGCATACCCCCAAACAAGCTTTGGGACGTGCGCGTGGTTGACATGTGGCTGTGGGTCAAAACCGGGGGGTGCTGGTTGAGCACGGAAAATGAACAGAATGAGGAGGTCCACCGGTCCATCTACCAGGGTCAACTAGCACAGCCGGACATCTTGATGTGCTTTGCAGGCTCCTAGAGGTCTCTATCAGCCCACCTTGTTTGGATCCCGTAGATGGAGATCCGGGATCCCGTAGATGGAGATAGCAGCCTGGCCTGTGTTGTTTGGCTGTTGGAGCAGTACCACTGATCATCTACCATGGTGCCAGCTGGGTGGACGCATACATACTCAAAGGCATTCAAAGGTAGAGATACATATAGACTTAATATAGACAGATACTGTAGATAGATAGATAGATAGACAGACAGACAGACAGACAGATAGATAGATAGATAGATTCAGATAGATAGAGAGATATTGTAGATTAATAGATAGTAGATAAATACAGTAATCAATTGGACCAATAAAAGTAAATATGTCGCATGCTATACTCTAGTATGCGGTATGCCCTCTAATCTTTCACCCATTGGAATTCTTTGCTTTGCTCACTACCATCCTGGCAGCGGAACGAGTGTTTCAGCACTACGCACCGGGAGGTCCTCGAGCAACAGCAGGCGGTCCTGAAGTTTCTGGACGGCGGCCGTGGACGGCGTCATCAGGAGTTCCTGATCCACAACATGGCCAAGTGGTGGTTCCTGAACTCGAGAGGCCATGTCACGAGAACATGGGGTCGGTCGTTTTGTTGCCGTGCGCAGGTGTGGAGAGTAGGCTCTTCAGCAGACACTATAGCTTGTTGAAGAGTAGGCTTGACCAAGCGTCGACTAGAAGCCTTGCTTCTTCCCGCGTGCGTTCCCACAGATCGGATCCGCCACATGTCTCGCCAGACGCTTGAGGAGTCTTCCGCGTCTCGTCAACGGCCAGGATTGCGTTTGATTGAAAACGGGTGCGTTTGAGGGGCTGTTAGTCATAGAACGAACGCAAGGAGGATTTTTCACGTCTTTTTTTCTCCCTTCAGCAGATTCACATGGGGCTATGGACATGATCCATTCTCATGGATTTCTCCATTTGCCACATTTGCCTATAGACTATAGAATCTACAGACAACCATAGCAGAACAGCAGCGGCAGGCCCACTTGTGGTCTATCCTGAAGCTTGGCTTGACAAAGGATCCATGGCCCAAAGGATCCATAGTGTCAGATGGAGTCAAGTCATCCCTGGGATCCAATGAACCTCTCTTCCCTGGACATCGCCCAGCTACTTCGGCAAACACTTCAAGTCTGACTCCAAACGCCGCAGTGAGCAAACGAGTCGGACGAGTCTAGCTCACTAGTGAAGTGTGAGTTTGGACAGTGAGTAAACGACTCTTCCTTTCGTTTTTCATCATCACCCGCAGACTTCCTTGTGTTCACGTTCCGTGACAACGTGAACACAAGCGTCAGAAACAGAAACCATGGTTGGGTGGCCGAACAGCAGTAGTGATGATTATGAAGCTGCTCCAAAAACCTGGTGTCCAATGGGAGTTGGGAGTTGGGAGGGAAAACACACAGGAATGAATAGATAGTTTAAATACTTAAATAACAATTCCACGCTGTTTACACTCTGGGTAGGAACTTAAAGCTGGTACCCACCCATAGAAAACATTAGAAAACATCAACATGTATATAGAAGATTGAAACGCAATGAAATAGTGTAGGTTTAGAAACAATCTAGGCTGGGAGAACAACAACATGTAGAAGGTTGAATCGCAATGGAAGGGTGTAGGTTTAGAAACAATCTAGGCTAGGAGAACAAGTGCTTGTTTCGAAGCGGTGTGCCATGGGGATTGGGAGAGGAAAACACGCAAGAATGAATAGATATGATTGACGTTTACAGAGCAATTCCATGCTGTTTGCACTCTATGTAGAAACTTAAAGCTGGTACCAACATGTGGGTCAGAATCGGTGTGCCATGGGGATTGGATCACGGCAACCCACAGAAAACCTTAGAAAACATCAACATGTAGAAGATTGAATCGCAATGGAATAGTGTAGGTTTAAAACAATCTAGGAGAAAAAGTGCTTGTTTCGAAGCGGTGTGCCATTGTGTTTTCTTTCCAAATGGGGTAAGTTCTTGCATTCGTGGGGTAAGCGGTGTGCCATGGGGGTGGGTCAAGTTCATGTGCGATGGGGTAAGTTAGCACGTCGGGTCGTACCAGCATGTCCCAGTGCACTTCCTCCTTCCTCTCACCACTGTGTCACCACTGTAGGAACAGTTCACCATCCTAGCCATGCAAGAGCTCATCCAAACAAAGCAGCAGTGCCTGGCCTGCCGATGACGAATGTTGTTGATTAATTTGTATGTTCTATTGTTGTTTCGTCTCAATTGGGCAAACCCTCCGGAAGCCCCCGCAAAACATTTTTTTAACATCATTGATGAAGACAATCTCTTTGCATGAACAGCTTTGGTGAAATCGTTGTTTTCGGGCTTATCAACCACAGAAAGAGCAAGATAGTGATTGTAGTACTTGAGGCTACTGCTTGCTTATAATATAAGAAGGATCTGACGCTAGCACGGTGCTTGGCGGTTTCATGATTTCTTCATGTTTGTTTATTGTTTGTTGATTGTTGACCCTTTTTCTCTTCTTTGGCTTCATGTGACACCCGTGACCTGCTACTCATTCACTGAGTCGGCTCCGATTGGGCACGACCGACTGCGTCACTGGGCGACTGCGTTATACCTGGCTCGGTCGAGGTGGAAGGAGTGCGACTTCAGCTCCTTGGCCTTCTTCCTGCCCTACTCTTCAGTGCCTTGGCATATCTTGGGCTGTCAGAAACCGCGGGCTGGAGGGTGTTGTATTGTTGGGTGGGGTTGGGGCTGGGCTGGTGTGGGTCGGTTGGTGGGTTTTTGTTTGCTTGTTTGTTGTTAGCTGGCGGTCCTTTGGCGATCATGGACCGGCGTGTACAAGACTGACAAGACCAAAACAGCAGCTGCTTCAGGAGACTATTCTGAGTTATTCTGATGCTTTGTCCTCAGGCGTGCTCTCAGACTTTTAGACCATCTTAGACCCTGAGTTTCTTACTCAACCACCAAAACGGCAAGACCCTTAGCACCAAGAACCACCGACAGGACAGGACTTACCACCTGCTTAGTTGCCAACAGGACGACGTGCAGGCCCCGATTTCCACAGCCTTCACGTCACGCAGCCTTCGCAAGGTGAAGGGCCGCTTGAGTGAGGAAGCAGCAAAGACCTATAGCCATGTGGAGGCCAGGGGGTGAAAGATATTGAAAGATGGTTGAGATATGCCTGATGTTGGTTTCGGTACGTCCTTAGTGCTTGACAAGTTGTCCCATCTACAAACTCACTCTCCTTGTATCTATAGCATAACTTGATTGCTCTTCCGGAGCCCTAGAGTTGAGTCACGGAACTCCCGACGCGCGCGCACGGAAATCCGCTGCACGGAGCGAGCTTTTTCCGCTGATGGATTGCCTCCGCTCACGCTGGAGGCCAAAGCCATCTTTTTGGGCGATGGACCATTCATGTTGGTGGACTCTCCTGAGTTAACCTCCGAAGCTTTGAGGCGATCAGAGCCGGGAACACGGTGTGAACGCGGAACGCGGAACGCGTGTTCGCGGGGAACGGGACGTCTTGTGAGCGCCCCGTCTTGTGACTGATGGCTGTTGGTTCTTGAGGAGAGTGGTGATCCGATCAACTCTCCAGAGAGGTAAAAGCATGGACCTTTAGAAATTGCCCAGGAATCATCCTTGAGACGACTAAGTCATCCTGATGGAGAGCTCAACATGGAAGAGATGGAAGACATGGAAGAGGTGGACCCAATTGATAGTGACCTTGCCACATGACCTATGTGGTGAATTCTGGGTCCACCACCTACCCTGCATCGCGTAAATACGGAGGAAGCTGGGCTACATGGACGATGAGTTCAACCAAGACTTGCGGGAGGCCGTTCTGTTGCTCTGTTTGCTTGTCTGTTTGTTTGTGGACCACACAAGACACAAGATTGAAGTCATTGGACAGAGGCCATGTTTTGCTTTGTGAACTCCAATGACAACAAGAATCACTTGCGGAAGATGAGCCTACTGCCAGTTCCAGGAGATAGTCTCCAGGCCGGATCTGACAGGACGTAGACTTGGTGTTTGTGCGGATGGCCATCTACAATCCAAGAGGTAAGGGAGTATTGAATCGCCGCAGATATTTAGTATCGATTCTACAAGTGACAAGATTTATCGTGGCAATCTTGAACGTGTGATCAACACTGAGAGCTGAGAGGTGCATGTGGTTGCATCATGTTTGGATGATTTATATAGGCCAATGACCAATGTTGTTCATTCTCAGGCTCAGTTTGTGTTCGAGATACAATGACATTGCTGGCCATCATGGTAGAATAAGGACTTGGCTTGCTGCTCTTGCTTGGTTGTATGATGCTGTATAGCATGGCCAGAGACTGGACTTGCTAGTCAACCACGATCTTTACATCATTAAAAAACCGTTTTCCACTCCCTTAGGGACCCGGGGCCACAGGGCCACACCAGTCGAGCAGAATGACCCAGTTGCCCACTTGACCGAAGTTGTCTTCGTTCGTTCGATCCCGACTCCAACGTTCATCCGACCCGTACCTCGGCGCGCCCTCGGGCGCGCCCTCAGCTTTGCCCTCCACCCCCCCCGTCCGGTCCGCCCTGGAGGACGTGGAACGGAAGCTGCACCGGGCCTTCGTGTCGCATGGCTCCCAGGGGCGGTGGCAGCGGAAGAACGGCGGCGACGCACGGAATGGGGCCACGCGGCCGTTGCGGCACATTCTGCAGAAGGCCCAGATCTTGGAAGCTTGGGAGGTGGAAAGGAATCCACGAAGAAGAGGTGGCCAACAGGGTTCAGGCTCCACCTTCAAATTGCTGTAGGACCTTGTAGAAGCCCTGGGCACATGAATTTGGGCGTGAATTTGAAGCCCGTAGCCTTACTACATGTCTTATCATGTCTTACATTGTTTTACTGTCATACACCTACCAACTGTCAGATAACGACTCAGAACCAGAGCAAATCAAGAATTGAGTAGCTCCTCATGACTTGTTCATGCTTTTTCTACGCTACGCCAGCGAGCAAGTAACTTCGAGCTCTTGATTGAATCCGAGGATCGGAGGAGGAGCTACTCCAAAGCTGAGATCTTTGAAGCCATGAAGGTCGGTCTTTATCGTCTTTATCGATGAGTTGCATGAAGACCTGGATGCATACACCAGCAAGCTACCTCTTTTTGATTCATTCAGCACACTAAATTTACCTGTGATTGAATTGAATTGCAAATCATCATTTTGCGGGTACAGTATTGGCCATGGGGCTTGCTTCCTCCGCCGTTCCCCACGTTGCCACGGTCCACGGTACGCTTCGCGGAAGTCCGACGAGGTCTACGCGCAGCAGAACGCTTTGCCCGCTGCCAAGACCTTCAATGCCCTGGCCTTCCGCGTGATGCGGCAGCATCTCAAGGACCCACAGTGCCGCCCAGTGATTGAGTTCGAAGACAAAAGACTCCGCGGCCCAGGGGTGCGGAGCAGTGCGCAGCTGTGGTCCATGGAAGATAAGATTGCCAGCACACCTCAACAGAGGTAAACGAACGCATACTGGGTGATGCAGAAATGGTTCGAATGGTTCGAATGGTTCTCGTTGCACCTGGCAGGCATGGCGCTCAGATGGTGGGGTTTGGTCGAAGAGTTTGGCACCTGACACCCCCGGGAAGCTCGGGATGGTCCTGGGAGACCAGGGGTGGTTGGGACGGTGTGCTTATCAGGTGGATGAAGAAAGGATTCCGACCAGGTCGTATCATTCCAGCTGGCTCGGTCATGTAGATGGTTCAATATTGCGACCTACACTGAAGACACATGTTTTTCCAGAAAGAGGTGCTCGGCTTGCTCGGCTCAGGTCCTCTACAACCCTGAAGACTTTCATCACAACTCGGGCGATTTGAGCGACAACTGTACCTTGCTCGGCTGCGTCGTTTGTGTGGCACAGAGGTCGGAAACGGTGCGGGTTCTGTCGGATGCTCCAATGAAGGTGGCAGAAACTGGTGGACCGAGCTTGATAGGTCCCTAGATGTCCCCCAATATACAAGAGGATTGAGAGGACCAATGGGACAGACCCCAAGTTCGGTGGTTGACATGGCCCATCTAAAAGACATCTTGGGGTCTGTGACATCTGCTCTGAAACCACTGTAGAGGTCAGAGCTTGCTTAGAGCCATGCACCTGAGACTTTGACTGAACCAACTGGTGGCTCTCATGAGTGAAGGTCAAGCAGGCACTCTCTGCAAATCGCTCTTCGGGCTCAAGTTCGAGTGCGCGCCGTTGAGCAGACATGCATTTGATGCAAGAATAGACTTTGCAGAAGTATAATACTGTACAGTGTGTATCATGAAGTATCTCCAACTCCGTTTGCTGGGTACGCTCATCCCATTTTTTTTCAGCTGGAAAGCGGGTCCGGTCGCGAAATTCATGAGCAAATCAAAGGTTTTTGAATCCACTCTACTAAGTCGTTTGCGCGCACCGAATACGATGTGCCCTGCATCTTGAAATCGGGGAAGACGATGCTCTCAAGGCTGAGCTTTATCCGAGCACGACTGGTCACCTTAAACGACTGTGGATCGTTTTCGTGAATGATAGGTTTTGAGACTCCCATAATTTCCCTCCTGTGTAGTACAGGCAGAAGCTCATAAGTTATGGTTAATCCCTGGGGCTCCCAAAGGCTCCCTCAGACAACCGTTGTCGTGAAAATACCCCGGGAGACTCTCTCACGCCCAACTACCCCCTGAGACAAAACTGTTTCGTGAACGTTTTTGGGGTCATCTCATTGCTTGGATTTTTGGGGCAACATCCTCTCAACCCAACCTATCCTCGCCCATCCGCGGCCTGGCTCCTGCACATCCAGCGAAAGTCCAGACGACACTTGGCATCATTTTTCCGGGCGGTGGCGACGCACGGATCCCTAGGGCTCCAACTACCCCCTGAGAAGATGGAGGCCAACCATCGCTAGTAGGTTGGAGGCCATCGCCCAGGTTGGAGGCCATCATAGGCCATCGCTAGTAGGGTGGAGGCCATCGCAAGTAGGTTGGAGGCCATCGCTACTAGGGTGGAGCCCTATAGGTGATCTACACATGCAGATTGGATTCCAGTCCTAGATACCACCTCTCCAGGCCTGTACATTCCAATCCAATCTTGGAACTAATTCCACACATCCTGCACAAACGACCGATCCAGTCTTCACATGCAAAGCCATGGTGAAATCTGTAGTTGATTCCTTAGATGATGGTGAAAAGCTTTTTGGGTCTAGTTTGGGGGGTCCACCCTAGTACTGGCTGGTGCCTAGGGTAGATGGAGAAAGGCCCCTCTGAGGTTTTGAACTGTAAACTTGATAAAGAGCCAAGCTAGCGTCGATCAGCGATCTGCTGAATGCAAAGCTCGTGCCAGGCCTAATCAAGCCAAACCAGTTTGAATGATCACGCGAAAGCGGGCACGCATGCTTTCCGGCTTCAATGAAAGGTACTACGTTTGTCCAAGCTACATGAAATTTTGGCCTTGCCGGCCATCGAAGTACACCGGCGTTCAACGCAGCCAATGCCAGCTTGACGTATGCCGTGCAGCACTTCTCCTAGGCTTTTGTGGAAGGGCTTCTCATGAACCCCCTTCCCACCAATTTCAGTGGATATCACCACATCAACCAGACCAAGAAAAACAGGTTGCTGGAAAGTCAATTCAAAGCTTCACATTCATCAGCCATTCTCATGGCTTCTTCCCGGCTCAGGAACTGGGGCAATGCTTCACTCAAAGAGTGGAACTGGGCAAGCCCGTGCCTCGGTGTTTGGAGGAAGGAATTGGTGATGCGGGGAAAGCTAGTTCCCCGGCTAGAAGAGAGTTGGGGCCAGAGCAGGGGCTCTCACAATCACGAATGGTAGGATTTAGGAGATGTACCATGTACCGGTTTCCTGCAAGACTGAACGCTGAGTGGTCTAAACTTGAGTAGTGAGAACTTGCCCTTGCCCTGTGCGACCCCTCTCAAAGAGCACCCAAGCCCAAGGGGCAAGCATGTTTGCATCAGTGTCCACCTCTCGTCGGGCGGGTCGAGGTTGCTGCTCAGCACATCATCCAACCACTGCACCACCACACGAGCCTCAGATTTGTCGATATATCGGCCCCTGCTGGTTGGAATATGTGAGAGCTAGACTTGCAACACCCCTGCGGAAGAAATATAATATCGGTTTAGATTTGAGCTTGGCAACGTTGTGGGCTTTGAACTGCAACTCAGGGTATGGGTGAACCCAGCTTTTCATCTTCTTGGTCGAAAACTTCGGAGCAGAATGCCTGAGCTTTCACCGAGATGGAGTTACGAAGCCTTTCCTCCCTGATTGTGAAAACACTTGGGGAAACGCGCTAACAATAGGCAGCGTGCACCTGAACAAATTATGTTATGATAGGCAAAATGCTGCCACTTATGCATTCTGGCCCATACTCTAAACTCTTGGGTGGCGATTGCAAGTCGTCGGTCGGCAGCCAACGAAGATCCACCCCACATGCACTCGTACTCAAGGAGCTCAAGGAAAGCCGAAGCCGCCACCCAGAGGTCAATCCCCAGGTTGACCACATGCATTGCATCCCACTTGACCTTTTCAAGGTCCCCTCCAAGAAGGGACACCAAAGGACCTCAGATGATATTGATAGGTTTCTGTTTGCATCAGCCACCTCAGCCTGTAAATATACTAATACGGCTGGATTCATGCGAGGGTGCATAGTCAATCTGAAGACCAGGTTTTAAAAAATCAAAAGGCTTGGGTCAAAAGAGACAAGTGTCTCGCATCACCTGGTTTCAAACACTTGGATATGAAAGACTCCATGTTTGTAATGCGAGGTTGTTGTAACAGGCAAAGCGGGGACTCAACCATGTAGTTGTCTTTGTCCATGTCACACCTGTGACAAATGTAGGTGCATTTGTAGTACCGCTTCATCAGCAACCATTCCTCTTCAGGGAGATCATCCAGGTAGAACACACACCCCTCTTCATTGGAACTTCTAGAGTCTAATGGGACACAAAATTTTAATTACAAGAATAATACGGCCTTTCAGTGGGTTGATCCCCGTCTGGCCACCAAAGTCCTGGTGAAATTTCCAATCGGCCCGAAGCTCTTGGACAACCGCCCTGAATGTCCCACTCGCACCTGGCGCATCGACGCCAGTGTAAAGGAGATCAAAGCTCTCACAAACCTGAGATGTTATGGCACGCGGTCGTTGTGCGCAAAGCCTACCATTGGAACACAGCCGCTCCGGACCCGAGGTTAGCCAAGGTTCAGCTTTGAGATAGGGTCTCAATGTTCCAAAGCCAGTGGATAAATCCTAGGATTCACGGGGCACTGGGTTCGAACATCAGCCCCTGTAAGGTGCGATTGCATGAGCAACATGGTAACATGCGGGTGAGTTTCTTCCCTGAACAAAAAAAGTGGAAAGCACCTGTTGATGGTCGTCTTTTCAACCTGCCGCTGCAGAACCAGGCCACAGCACACCACAGTGATTGACTCACCAGATTCTAGATACTGGCAGCCATCACCCCACATCCATAGTGGCACCATATCATTGTGCTCTGGCTTGCCAACATGCTGCCAGTACTGACGCGTGACATCAGCTGGCACTTGGGGGAACAATCCACGGCGCATAAGCCATGGGAAGAGTAGATGAGGGAGAATCAGTGGCATTGACCTGAAAAGGGCAGCTCAATCACCCAGTTCATGCCCAAGACAAATAGCCTTTTATGATACCTGAGAAGCTGCAAAACGAAAGCCAGCGTTACCATCGGCCTCTGTACAACTACACCTTACCATTCAGATGATGCAAATGATGCAAATAATTGCATTTCTTGCATCACCACCCCGTCAAAAATCACAAAGAATCACCTCCAAAAAAAGCTCAAAAACCTTACTTCGGTGGACCCCTAAACACCACCTAATTTGGAGTTTACGTGGTCATTTCTCCGGCCACCCACCCCACACCCCCTACTTACTCACTTCGTTCGCCAAACACAACTCAGCTGGCGCCTTCTACGAAGGCTGGCTTTCGTAATTCACATTTAGGCGTTACTTTTTGGACCCAGACCCGGACCTTGTTTCCACCTCATCGTCCGCGCCAAGTTCCTTCTTGAGAGGCACATCAACCCAGCTGATGGGTACCTTGGAACAAATGGATCCGGAAGACACCACTTTCAGATTGGGAAGAGAGATGATGGTAGACATCAGTCAATGGAAAAACAATAGTGTAAGTCACCAACAAGCTACTGTGTCAGGATTCTTTTTCTCAACTTTCCTCATCATATCCCGCTTCACATTCTGGGGGAATTTTCCATCAGCACCCGATGAAGCAAAATCTGCACAAGGTCCTTTGAATTTGTACCCCTGGTAGGCAAACTCCTGCAAAAAAATCAAATGCAACAATGACGGGTTCAATCAAATCCAGGTTTCAGAAATAGAAAGCTCCATACCACCCCACCACTCCTTGCGGACATATTGTAAGGTCTCCTGCGCCTTTCTGAACGAAGATTCCTCATGACGGAGAGAAGGGGCGCAAACCCCTTGCCAAAAATACAGCGTAGCTCCAAATGGCGGGGGAGCACAGTCCGGCCCATTTGATGCTGGCTAGATTCACCCAAACCACTCTCCTTCATGAGGAAGCTCACCAAGGGAGAAGTAGCGCCTGCGTGGGCATAGCGCTCAACCATTTCAACTCGATGTGGGTACACCCGGCTTTCATGTGGTGCACAACGGGGCGAAGGGAGGCATGGGCATGGCACTAAACTATTTCAACCCCATGTGTATTGCACAAAGAGGCCAAGAGACCATGCCCTCCAAGAGAATAACACCTGCATAGGTGTTGCACTGAAGCATTTCAACTGTCTATGTGGGAACACCCGTCTTTCACATGCACAACGGGGCCAGAAGAGATTGTGCTTTCCAAGAAGTGATACCTGGGCGTGGCACCATGCCCTTTCAACTCGGGAACATCCGGCTTTCACGGTACATGTTTTTACCTGCGCAGTCAGTTTGGTGGCTGCCACTCTGTGGGACCTTTCAGACACAATCTAAGCCCAAAAGGCGCTGGCAAAATTGCCATGAACAAATCATGGCACACACAACTGGGGTCTTCAGTTCTCGGTGCCCTCATCGGCATTCTGGACTGCAGGCTTGCCCTTGGTCTTGGGTTTTGGGGTAGCCTTCGGCTTTGGTGGTTCCTGAGCAGGCACAATGTTTGGTGCTTTGTGTGGGCACAAGGTCAAAACCAAGGACCTATATATCGACCTTAAGCTTATGCTCATCGATTAGGCAGCTCGAGGGGGCACAGGAAAGATAGGTTAACATGGCAAGTTCTTGCATCTAGACTCAATGGCTGCTTTCACAGACTTCATCGTTCCACTCAAGCTGGTTGCCGTTGCATCCACACTCTTCAACGCAGCATCATATCGATCTTTAAGCTCTTTGTCATTCGCCACTGTGTCCAGCTTGCATGCAAACAAGCTTTCCAACTCGGTCTTGACCCGTAGAACCTCCTCCTTTCTGGCCGCAAGCTGACCCACAAGGCCTGACTTCATTGTATCAGACCTTGTCAGTCAAATGCGGGCCATGTATACGGGTAAGTAGGGTGATTTGCGCTTTCCAGGACACACTGAAATAAAAACATGTTGGAAAGAAACAAAGCTACAAGCTCGAGTCATGGCTTTTGGCTTCCCAGGCCATGATCTCGGAGAGCTTGGAACTAGTCCACGCGATCTTACCACCCACAACCTGTGTTTCTGTTTTGGGTTTCTTCTCCTTTCTGCGCGGCTCGCGGGGATCACCACCCCCACCACCACCATTTCCAGGAGGCACCACACCCGGACCTGCATTGGTGTTGGGAGCACCACCTGCTCGGTTTAGCAGAGAATTCTGTGCCCTCACCGGCAGCGAAAGCCTCTTGAGGTCACTGCTGAGAGCAGTTTGCCTTGGCAAGGAAGCCCGGCAAAGGGGGTATGGGGAGTTGTGATCAAGATGGGAGGGAGAGCCCTATCAGGTTTCATGGAACCAGGCCCAAAGGTTGCCATGGCCAAAACATTCGCCCCAAAACAAATACCCAACCATGTCAAGGAGGGCCAATTCAACGCTCTGATTCCAAGGGTTATGATATTAGTGGGGATGGGGCCATATTGGACAGCCA